GCTCTGGCGAGGTTTCAATTTTTGCCAAGAAACCTGTCGTTCCCAGTGCTCTACTGCATCGTTTTACACTTATGTTGAATTGTGGGAAAGTCACCGGAATCAAAATTCGTGATTCTGGAAGTCGTTTTGCGTCATTAACACCAAATTGGGGGCAGATTATGCTCATCTCATTTGTGTTCTTTTACTTTATCATAAATCTTACTATTGAATAAACGTTAAATGATGTAACAGGTCAAGAAGGGAGATAATTTTGAACAATTTTTCTTCCAGAAACTTCCAAAATTTGACGATTTACACCTCCTCCTCCTTCTCACAGGATTTCTCATAAGCCCTTCCACCATCTCAAAAATGTGAGCCGTTTTATAGAAGGACAACAAGAAGGCTTACTTTCTATTCTAATAAAATTGGGAAATTTGTTTCATGTCGCTGGTAGTGCGTGAATTTTGACGGCTCCCATTTGAATCTCGAACAAATGCATTTATTATTCAATTTCGGTTTTATTTTTGAAGTGAAAAGTCAATTTTCCAAGTTTTGTTACCTTCCCACCAGTATGATATCGCCAAAGGATAACCGATTATGGTGCATTCTCGTGGTATTTATATCTATCCGCCAGACAACCAGATTTGCTAACTACACTTCCTATTCTACTTTCTTTTAGGGGTTCTGTTGCAAAAGTGTTATGAGGAGCTTGGAAACTACAGACGAACTGATGCCGACCAAAGATATGGTAAGTGTTTCTGTGTAGAAGAAACCTCCCTTATGCTTTGTAATGTTGAAAGTGCGTTCAGAGTTTTGAGCGACTAGGAGAGGACTCATCGATCACGCGTTTATTAGCGTTTCGTGGGTAGTTTTGAGCTTTCTCAGACAGTCGCTGGCACATAATCAAAACGCAAGATCGACATCTGTACTTCCCTAGTCGTTCAAAACGCTGGCGCAAAATATGGAAGCAGCCTGAAGCTTGTTGTTTGTTGAATGAGTTCTCATGACTTGTGCAGTGAAATTGCCTGCCTTAATCTTTTTACTTCTTTAGCTTCCCGAATGTGAATCACCCAGCAATACCGAGTCAGACAGGGATCCAAATACGGACGAACTACCTTCGAAACCTGCTGATGGTGAAAATGGTTAGTGAACCCTTATTACTCAGTAAATTTTTTTCTTGAAATGGGTTTCTTGGCTATATGGACACAAATCCAATCAAGTAACGGACCATTTTGTTGTTACTACTATAGCGTGAGGCGATACTGGCCCATTTTATGGCATTCTTAATTGAGTTGGCTCTTTATATCAGGTCATCTCATTCAGAAGTGCCGAGACATAGAGGAATGGCAGAAAAGCAAAGGGGATAGGACAGCGGGCTACTATACCATTTGGAAGCTAGTACCTTAAGCTGTATCTGTGAAATTTGGCGAACCTACCCACAGAAGAAGTTCTCGAGAAATTGAAAAGAAGCCCGAGTGGTGAAAATCAGCGCCGGATTTTCAAATCAGGCGTCATAAGAGGAAAGTGCGCTGCTCAAATTTGACCTGCGCCGGACCAGTAGTTGTGTGTAATGGTGTTCTCGAAATACAAGGTGGAAGATTTGGTTCAGGAGCCCGAAGAAGGAAGAAAGGAAAAAATTTGTTGTCGTGGATGGTCCCATAATGTTCATCCTGCACAAGAAAAAAGGGTGGATGAAGTCAAGCGCTGAATGTCTGATCACAGAGCCTGGACCTTTGTCGAGCTTCCCCGCGAGTCTGACATCCCTGCTGCAACTGCTGCCCGAGTTATGTCCGATAAACTGAGGATGGTCAAGAGGGTGTGCGCATGGGTACCTAATTTTCTTGTAGAAGCACGAACGCAGTACCGATTCTATGCTAGCAGTAATGTTCTCAGCATGAGATGTCATTCACAACTGTGAAAACGCACCCCGGCCTTAGATGAAATATGGGTCTTGGACCTCGAGCCAAAACTCACAATCGTCAATTTTGTATGAATGCAGATGAGAAGCCGCCCGAGTTCTACCATGAGGAGTTACGTGGGCGCAAGTGGATGATCATCATAGCGAAGGATTCCCACACTGTGGCTTTCAGGCGGCTCTATACAGAGAATAAAATCGTCGCTGTCGGTGTATATTGCCTGTTCCTCGGCAATCAGATCGACAAATGGATGATACCACACAACTACAAGAAGGCCACCGTTGCTCGTCATAGTGCCAGACCCCGAGTAACTGTATTGTAGGGCAGTGCTGGGACACAAACAATACTGAGACCTGGGTTCAATCGCCCCATTCGCCCAACATAAAGCCGTTCGATTCCAACTGTTCTGGTCAGTCGAGGGTACTCTCCGACGGCAAACGCTACAATGTTTTGTCATTTGCCGAAATTGGCAACAACAGCAATTTACTCGCACTTGTTGAAAAATCGAAGGTACCAGAGGTCCAAAGCTTTCGGGGCCCTGGGAGCGGGTCATTGGTGAAGGAGGGATCTACTTAACTCAAGCCAAAATATTACTTTTCTATCTGTTTTCTCTTCGTTTTATATGAATAAGATCTTCGGCACTTTTGAATGGGATGACCTAATATTATGTCTTAAAAATTAAGAATAGCGTTGGGATATGGTTCCGGAAATGAGATAAAGTGCTTCAGCGTTTCTGCATTCTCCTGGTTATCCGCTCTTCTGTATTTTTTATCAGTTTTGCCGTCCTGCCAATAATGAGCACTAGAACTAAATGGTGTTAATCATTTGTACGATCACCAAGTGGGCTGGGCGTGCAGTGCTTACATTTGCTCATCGCCATTTTACCACTGTAGAAAAATTTGCGGTGCGCAGTTCGGCATGGTGGAGAGTGCTTTTGCCTAATTCCGCGGGTGTAATTTAAGGGGATCTGCAATCTTTCGCTGGAGAGTGCTCTTGCCTAATTCCGCGGGTGTAATTTAAGGGGATCTGCAATCTTTTGCCGATCTGCTTTACAGGAATTTGCAGAAATGTTGGTTCGAATTGCGAGTGTTGAAGAACTAAAAAGCTATTCAACGCGTTTTACCAGTGTTGACTTCTAGTTTGAGTTTGGTTTTGCGCGATTTTTCGTTGGCCCTATAGCCTGGTGTCTGGTGAGCATTGTCGTCCAAATACTGAATTTTATGCAGAATCTCCCAGTTTTTTTTTTGCGAAATCACTGTCAGTGACGAAAAAAAGTTGCTGCTAGTTACTTTTTTTGTACTTGTAAAGAAATCTGTCAAAGCATGAGCTGGGATCTATCTAGAAGTATCGCAGTGATACACATTGAACTTTTCTTGAAAGTCCCTGACTCCTTCGAAAGGGCAACATATGGAGAAACATATTTCGTTAATTTTCAGATTCAGCAAATGCAGTAGCTGGTGTAACTCCAAGTCAGTTCTGATTACTATTTGAAACATATGAAATATTTACAGTTTTGAAAAAAATTAGCTAGAAGTGTTTATTCTGTATGTGACCGGAACCTATACGTTATTGGGAAAAATTCGCTTGAAACTTGCACAGAATTGTTTATGAAGTAGTTCACCGATTTGAATTTTTATTCAAAAGAAACGAGAAAGGGAATCCGCTTCTAGACGAATAATGGGAACACAACCATCTTTCGGGAATGTTGTTTCAAATGCGCTTCTACAACGTAATCGATGAAATGAAATTTATTAACTATTTACTAGATGAATAGTATTTTACATGTTCCCTAAGCTTTTCACGTTCTCTGACTCTTCGAAGTTGTGTTTATAGAATCTAGCGATGAGGAACCTGCTGCTGGAGAAGGCTTGTCTGAGGAGGTCTACGAAGTGGAGAAAATTTTAGACCATGACGAAACGAAAGAAGGATTATTTTACCTGGTGAGATTTTAGTGATATTTTTTTCGCTCCATATTTCCAAAAGATAATTCGGTTGCTAGATTTGCTCTAAGGTTGTGAAGTGGTACGTAACCCTGAAGCATTTTCAGTAGGAGAAGTCACATTTAACACGTAGTAGGCTATCATACGGGGGCTATCTCCGCATTTTTTACACTACTTATCATTAATTGCGACTCTCTTTTCGAACTCGTGCGCGATGTGTCTTCTTCCGAAACTGTTTTGATAAAGTGTAGGAGTAAGACAATAGCAGGAAGTTTATGGAAATGGGACACATATGACTGCTCATCCATGTTTAGTGGTCCAGCGTGCCATTAAATCTTAGCTCCTAAAGCTTGAACTATGGGAATGTTAAACACATATAAGAGGCGCCAATATTTATTGCGAAAGACTCAAAAGTTTTGGCAAAAAATATTATTGTTTATTCTCCTCCTTCGAATATTTCGGTGGTTAGCACCTTTCTTCAGCGATATGGAGGTTCCATCTTCGAATCAACAACTTAAAAACATCCCCCACGCAACGCCTATTTTGTAGGTGTCTTTTCTTGTACAAGTAGTCCGAACAACAGTCTCTAAGATCTTCTCCGCGCTTCACAATAAATAACGATGGCGATGCGGCCTTCATAAGTTGCACTTGTAGTTCTTCTGTTCTGAGAGTTTTGTTCGCCACGCATGAAGGGGAGGGTCTGGAGAGATGGGTTCTACACGGCGCCAAATCTGTTTTTCACCAGTCGTTGAAGCGAGTAAGCGACAAAACTGTATCATGTCCTACTTATCAATCGCATTCCACCAACTGTTATCTCTTACCAGCGCTTGTAGAGAACGTTATTGGCGTTGGGCCGGACCCAGCTTCACTGAAACGCGACATCAATTATGCAATAAAAGTTTAGAGGAGGGGATTGGGGCCATTTATGTTCCAACAATTGCTCTATCAGCTTAGCAGTTTTCTTCTAGATCTCCTCAGTTTTTTTCCACAGTGAACATTATCGATATTTTCGTTTATTCAGCTGCAATTATTGCGGGTATATGCTCTTCTAGTGTTTATACATCACCACTTTCCAACATTTTACAGGTGCACTGGAAAGGCTTCTCGAAAGAAGACGATTCGTGGGAACCAGCGGAAAATCTGATATTCGCCACGAAAGCTATCGATGAGTACGAGTCGGCAAGGAAATCGAAATCCAAGAGGGTTACTATGCCTAGTTCTTCTAAAAAAGTAAAATTTGTAACTTTCTGCTCGCTCTCTTTAAGAAATCGTTCTACCCTGTGAGACTAGCTCACAATGTAATTTGCTTGCAACGGAGGCGATTTTATGAGTTGCACAACATAAACACCGAAAATTTGTCGCGAAAAATTCTGAGAACTCGTAAAAAGTCTTGAGCTAGATCTTGAGCCCTTTACGTTTTTTGCGATATTTTTTTGCAACATTTTTTTTGGTTTCTCTTCTTTGCAACAATCATATGCATGTGAGTCTCCGGAACAGCACAGCAATAAAGACGGGCCGCCTTCGTTTTTAGTTTAGTCGCTGTCCTTGGTACTTTCGCTGATCAAAAATACGCGATAACGAAGCCATTTGATTGTGGTGAAGGCAATGCCGCGCTCATTGGCACCTACTACACTCAGCGTTCTTTTTAAAAGCCATCTGATAGTAGGGGTACCCGCTACTAGCTCTTTCCGTTCCAAATGATGAGAATGAAATGATAGGGGAAACGCTGATATATTTGTGAGCGCGAGGGAAGTCGTCCGAAGCTCACTCTTCGCGTTATGCTCGTATAAGCTAAATTCAGCATGGGTCCTATCTAACGTATTTTGGAAGGTTTTTGCTCCCTTTTCTTTGACTGTTAGGTTTATCGTGCCATCACTATTTAAGCCGGACTAGCCACCATTTTTAGTCGTGAAAATAGCCTCCAAGAGACTTTGTGTGTCAGTTCGTTGACGCGTGAGCAATATGTATCGCGGGACTTTTCAGGGAAAGAGACCGCCTCCAAAAACGCCGAAGGGAAAGAATGAGAAATCCACAGAAGAAAGGGTCGTCTGTAAAGTCAACTTCGTCTTCGTTAGTTTTCTAACATGCTATTTTTTATGAATTCTGTGTTTTCATTGATTTCGAAGTCAGTTCCAATGAGAGTTTTCGCAACGAAATGAGTCGGAATGATCATCCAAACAGATCCATATTTTTTTTACATTGCATTTTTATTTTTATGGAAGTGTTCTTCTTAAGTAGCAGGAAGCGGACTCGCCAAAAGGCGTCAGCTGAGAAATCGGACTCGGAGCCAGAACCAGAAATACCATCGGATGACATCGACGATGAAGATTACAGTGAAAAACCGAAAACTTCGAAGAAGTGAGTTCTGCCATTTTGCTTAGTGGTTACCTGATCACAGCAAATATTTTGGGTCGTCTTATTCAAACATATGGGAGCATGTTTAAGAATGATATGGAAGCAAAGGAGTTGAGGTTCTAGAAAGCTGGTACCTTTGGCTATATATTTATGAAATTTGGCCAACACAGCCACAGAGGAAAACTCGTGGGAGAAAAGAAACCAGAGCGGTCAAAATCAGCGTGTCATGGAATACAAGGAAAGTGCGCTTGGGATTAATCCTGTGCTGGACCGATACCTGTGAAGAGTGTTGTTGTCGAAAACGAGATGCGGAAGCCTAAGTTCAGATGTCAAAAGAAGGACGAGTGGGAGAATGCTTTGGCCTAACATGACCCCATCATGTTCATCTTGCACAAGAAAAATGGTTGGATGAGGTCAAGCGTCGAATATCTGATCACAGAGGCTGGACCGTTATCAATTTGCGCAAGGTTGACGTTCCTGCTACAACCATTGGCCGAGTAACGGCAAAAATTGAGGATGGTCTCGAGGGTGTGTTTTTTGGGTGCGTCATTTTCTCAAGTACGAACGCAGAGCCGATTCGGTGCCTGCAGCAGTGCTTTCCGTCCGAGACTTCATCCACGTCTGTAGAAGCGCGCCCTGGTCCAGTACGAATTGTGGCCAAATTCTGAGGAGTTTCGTGTGCCCAAGCGGATAGCCATCATGGCAATAGATTTCTGGGCGCAGTTTGTCGACGGGGGGGGGCATTTTGCTTTCCATAGAACGAGAAACGGCTGCCTAGATCGACCCATCTAGGCAGCCGTTTCTCGAGTTGACACGTTTTAGGATAGTGGCTAGACGATCTTACTTCAGCTTCACAAGAGTTCACAGGTTTTACCAGAGATTTGTAAACCGGAACTAGGGAAGCAATGATAATACAAAATGCCCCCCTCCCCCGTCGACAAACAGCGCTGATTTTTGCACTCTAGCTTTCAAGCGTTTTATCCGGAGTATAAAACCGTCACTGTCGGGTATACTAATTGACCTCGACATCAGATCGTCAGATGCATGATACCACACAACTGCAAAAGGTCGTCATTACTCAGCACAGTGTCAGGCCCCAATCAGTAGTTTCATTAGCCAGTTTTCCGACTAAAACTATACTGAGACCTGGATTCAGTAGCCTCATCTGCCCGGCCTATAGGCGTTGGACGTGTTCTGGTCATTGTGTACTGTCCAAAGGCAAACGCTACGATGATTATTCGATCGTCGAAGTTTTCATTGAAAGCGATTTACTCACCCTTTTGAAAAAAGGTAGGTGACAGAGGTCCAAACTCCCGGGGCACTGGGAGCGGACCACTTCATGAAAGCGAGATGTACTTCACACTGCGTAGAAATATTACCTTTTCATCTTTTTTTTCTTCATCATTTTATTTGAATAAAACCGCCCCCGTTTTGAATGTTATGACTTAATCTGAGTTCTCTTGCAAGATCCAATTGTCAACGTCGTTGTATTACAGGGGTTCGGCGCCGCCACCAAAAGGTTCTGGCACAGTTACTAAGGCGGCATTGAAATCGTACTCACCAACCACACCCAAAAATCGCAGAGGCTCCGGATCCACTTCCACATACATATCGCCTTCAGAAACACTGTCAGCTGCAAAAAAGGTGGGTACATTATATTGGCAGTTCCGAAGCATAGTTAAGACTCAAATGGACGCTTAATCTGTTAGAGAGCTTCAAGAAATTGTCGTGGTAGCGTGACGCTTTGAATCGCTTGAAAGGCGATGGAGTAGTCTGCTTGGTGTCGAATAAGAATCGCGATACATGACAAGAGTACTATCAAGATCGAGTTGCTAGCTGTGTTGAGCGCTCTTCTGTCTGATATGTTCAGAAGTTTTATACCCAGTCCTTGGCTACTCGCTATCCTGAATGGGACGAATGATTTCTCAGCTCAGAGCTCAGGTCATCAGTTCACTTTTGTCCTTTCTTATGCTACGGGTTTGCTTTTCGGCTGAAAAAAAAGTCGTTCCAGTAGTTGTCGTCCTGATTAGATCTCTGTTTAAGGATTTTGAGGTGAAACCTGATCAAATGCAGGCCTTGCTCATGCGCCAGTCTTGGTTGTATGATAGTGATTCGGACGACGATTCTGGTACTGAGAAGGAAAATGAGAAACGAATGGAGCAGCGTAAGCAGATAGAAGAGGAGCAATTGAGAATCAGGGAGCGAGACGAGGAACAACAAAAGCAAATGGAAGAAGCTAGCAAAGCTACAGGAAGAGCCTCCACGAAGCGCTGAACGTAAACGCAAAGTTGACGAAGGTTAACTCAGACAAGAAGAAGAAAATTAAGGTAACTATTTTGTTTGCGTTATTTTTCACTTCATAATCATGTTCGCTTTTTCACCCATTCCCAGTCATATCCCAGCTTTTGCAGAGTGATGTAACGGCGGAGCATGTGGAGGTCGCCAGCCCTGCTGCAGCCATGTATCAAAATGGTGACAGATGTCCTTCAAATCCTCCCGCTCCTTCCGCCAGTGGTTAGTTTTTCTCATTAGCTTTTCTCGTTTCAACAATGATCTTTCCTGGTTTAATTCTTGTTTCATTGACTTACATGTAGACTTACGTGTGCATGCGTCAACGCAGTGACTCGAACTAGTTATGACCTATGGTCATATAGCAACAGTGGGATTCCACTATGTACTTCAGGGCATAGACGACCGATTGACGGGAACTGTCAACAGCGGATAAAGGCGGCAGTGATAATTCCACTGTCGCCAATTAACGGGTAGGAGTTTCATAGTGCCAGATTTCGAAGATTTAGTGGTAGGACTTTGATGACGGAAGCCAAGTAGATATGAGCTGAATAGGTAAAAGGCCACATTTACTAAATTTCCTGAGTCTGTACTGCTGCCTCTGCAGGACAGGTATTACTGACAAATAGGTCAGTACTTAAGGTCGACTCAGACGTTTTTCCAGCTAGCTGTTTCTTTTTTTTTCTTCGAGAATGTGTGTGAGGAAGTTCACCGAAACATCATCTAATTCATCCATTTTCACGATAAATCCTTTCTTGAATGAATAATAACAAGGTGAAACTCCAAAAATTTATTCCAAAAAACTCAAGAGACAGCAAAAGTCTTAAAAGTTTTTTTTTAAACATCTCATCTTGCGATCGTAGCACCTTAGGCCCAGTCATCCCGGCAAAAAAAACTGAAAACTTTTTGAAAAAACTTTTTGCCGGGCTAACTAGGCCTGAGGTGCTACGCACCGAAATATCGCAAGATAAGATATTTTGAAAACTTTTGAACTTTTGCTGTCTTTTGAGTTTTTTGGAATAAATTTTTGGAGTTTCACATTGTTATACACATTCAGATGAGTAATGAGACTCCGGGACAGCACCATACTCCAATAATATTTGTAATGTAAGCTCTGAGCAAGAAATATTGTCCTCGGTTGTGTACTGTGGTTGCTTGGTGAGTTCGTACAAGAGCATCTTGTATAACTTCGAACGCCACTGTTGTCCTTTTCTGATGTGACATGTAAACGGCACAGGAAAAATCACCTAGTTCCTACGAGCTTATTCTGGAGATGCCCGTACTAAAACTCAGTTGATTCCATTCTCCCTGACAGCATAGCGAAAGGGACACTGCACTCAGGCTTCACCCTACGCTCGGACTGGGATGTAAGGAAAAAGTTTTTCCAGGTTCTGCGCTCTCCAGAACCAATAACGGCAAAACCGTCGTTTGCTGTTAATTTGTTGCTACTAGTAGCCTGCGAGAGCAGACTAGTCTGTGGTCTCTGTCATTATAGGCTGTTTTAGTTGAGCGGTATAGCACAAATGAGTGTGTATTCAGTAAATGTTCTAATGCTAGCAGTGCAAATCTCATACCTTTACTTCGACTTTAATTGTCTTTTATTGTGTAGGGTGTAGGAGTAAAAACCTCATCCTGATCAAATTTCATTACTTGCAGTACACTCTACGCCGACATGCACTGCCTCCGCTCCAAGCACTTCTTTCACTGATGCTACTCCTCAAGAAGAGGTGCAGATATTCGCCATAGGTAAAGTCAACGATGGGCGTATCAGAGTGGTGATAGGAAACGACCAGGCAAAGAAGGTTGTCTCATTGCGCGGTGAGTGGCATTTCTGGTTCCATTGCATGGGTTACCTGTTTATTTCGGTAGACTGGTGACGAGCGAACCGTTATCCAGTAAAAGTATGTGATACGATTTGATGAATACAGAAATCGCCCAGTGATCGAGATGAATTTTTCCCACTGCGAACTGCCATGCGGCTCGGCTGTCCTCATGTTTTTGTGATATATGCGATTACTACTCAGTGTCCATCAATGCTATCAGTTACCATTTCCGGTTTAAATCGGACTCTTCTTGAACCGATCGGACACTTTCCAAACCAAATCGGACCATTTTACAAATCAAAGGCCCACCCTTTACACTGTGCGGTGATAATAAGACCACACTAGGTACTGCAACAACCCCCCCCCCCAATACCACCGCCAACTTTTCAGCGGGGTCAGGTGATTTCATGAACTCAGTTACTCTCAATTTTCCCCGCTTTTGCTATTTCATATACACTCTCCGACAGACATATATACCACCCTGCCCAATTCTTAACGAATTTATCGTGGGATTTGAACTTTCACAACTTTTTCGACCTTGTTCTTTTCACATTCATCTTTCACAAAAAGAATGTGCTCATAAATATGCACTTGTACACTGGCACACTGAGCCCCTCCTCTCTGACTACGCCCCCTTTTGCGTCTTCTTTTTTTTGATCTTTTCTGCAAATTTCGCCTCCTCAGGCTGTAACCGCAAATTTCTAGAAGCCCCATCCATGTGAAAAGTTGGCCGGATAGAACCCAAACTGGCTATTTATTGTCTCTCCTTCACCCGGAAAGAAAAACCAGGGAAGGTTTGTCACAAAAAGCAATAGAGCTGAAAGAATAAGAGCGGCCCCGGTAAGGAGATACGGGTTCGAGTCAAGTTCTAGACCTGACTTTTGCCCGTAACTCAGCTCTTGTGGTGAATTTCAAATTCTTTACTCTTATATTTATTGATATTTGTCGCCAGGACCAAGTGTGATGGTGCTCTGTGAGCTCATTCAAATGGTTCTAAGCAGGTCGTGAAAAGCAACAACTGAATCTTGTACAGCTGTGGAGGATAGTTATTTCATTCATAGTACCTTTTTCAGACGCCCACGACGCCAACTCGTGGGGATTATTGCAGCACCTTCTGCAATATGCCGTATTCGACGACTTTGATGACTGAATTCGCGAAATTCACTCGTTAACTTCGAACCCTCTCGGAATTCTCCTTATTATTCTCTTATTTCGTCGACAATCTCCTAGATTAGCCATTCTCGTATTTTGGTACGTGTTTTTGGTGAGGTTTTTACTTCACTTCTCACTTGCAGTGGAGGTGCCCGTCAGACTTTCGTAAACTTGGTGCCGGCTTTGGAATCCATTGAGCTATTTTATCTCGTTTATACTGAATCCATGGGAAGGACTAAATAGGTATTGTTCGACTTGATTCTGTCCCACTGAGGAACAGACGTTAGTAGAGTAGAAGAATCCGCAGAAGGAATCACAAACAACTTCCCTTCTCTGATGATATTAATCAACCAGTCGTGGGGATCAAATCACCAACTCGCTTCTAGTCCTTTTCACGAGTTCTTCAGTTCTCGCTTAGCATGAACGACACGCGCCCTTGAGACCGCGTTCAGACTTCGCGATCAGACCGCTTCAGTGGATCGTGCGACCACGACGGGGGGCGCTCCACCGCTAAGCGGATTTACATAGTGCCAGTTCGAAGTGTGCCGGTGCGGCGGTGCACTGTTTTGCGGTGGAGCCCCGGAAAATGTCGCGCGATTCGATCGCGAAGTCTGAATGCGGTCTAAGGTTTATTTTGAAGGTCATTATCGGTCTGACGAGGCACAAGATTGGCGGGACTCCCTATGTACTACTCTACGTTTTCACTCCATTACCTTGCCTATATTATCCCACTGCAAACTAAACCAATAGTCATACCAAACTGATCGCTTGGCAGCCAATCCCCAGCATACGAAAAGAGTTGAACTTGTTAGAAAGTCTGATTATTAATTGTTTTTCTACGCGTCCTGTTCAGTCCGTTTGTTCTAGATGGATCTCAGTTTTGTTTTCATCCAGTCACTAGCCTCAAGTTGTAGTTTTTTTTCAAAGTTGTTATAGAACTGAAAGAGACGAGGATTGGTTGTCAGCTTGCATTTTTCAAATGTGCTATATATTTACACTGGATGAACGCACGCCATTGTTTTTTTCCATAGTTTATTTGCCCGTTGTTTACAATCCGTTGTCTCGTGTTTATTCTCTCTCATACTTCTGAAGTATGATTGAATTCCTCTTGCTACCTGTATGACTGATCTGGTCACCGTTGGTGGTTGTTCTCTGTTTTTGAAATCTTTTAGAAGCTGGCTATCCTCCAGTGTTGTTTTTGGTATGTTCTCACCCTGCCTGGTGACTTGATCATTATTGCAGGGTTTCATTTCACTCGTTTTTTTTTGTCCATTTTTGCATATGTGTGCGATTGATGGCTTTTATGTGAAGCATGAACGCGGAAGCGTCCGTGATTGTAATTTGCCCTCAATCGTTTCGTTGTATGATGGCCATGTTGTTGGCCAAGTTTCAGGCACGTTAATCTTCCATTTATTTTGCATTATCCTGCTTACAGTAGTGTTATCAAATAGTCTTTGCGAAGAACTTCATTTGTGAAGCTGTGAATCTGAATTAAAGATGTAGAAGGTGTTTCTGTTTTGTTAAAATGACGGAGTATTGTTCTCACTTGCGGATTATTACTAGCGGAGTTTCTAACATTTTCCGCGCCCTCCTGCAAGCATGAGTGTGGGGGCGGGACCTTGCGATGACAAACGCGCGTCGAACATTCTCGTGTGTTCGCTGGAAAGTCGCCAGGTGTATATAAGCGCATCGCGTTGCAGGTTTGAAAACCGTGCCGTGTTTTGCACTTCTATAGCATTTTTTGATCCATCCTGTCTTTACGGAATTTATGGGACTTTTTGGGGAGCTGTAATGTGCATATCCCCTGAGTGAACTTTCCGCTCATTCTGCATAACATTAGTTGAGAAACCATCTTCTATTCACTAGTGTTTGCTGGAATCGTATATTCGCAGAATTTTGAAGGATGGACTTCAATGACCGGGGTGTATTGGTGGTCCCTCGCTGATATCCTTTTTTCGTTATGAAGGGCTTTTGGCATCGTACGTTGGAATTTAGGACGAGAGGTCTTACCATTTCTGTAAGCCTGTGAGGAAAGTGCATGTGGTTCTGTATTTTTGCCCGCTTTAGTGGAAGGCTTCTCAGGCGCTACTCCTCGCTAGCTTCAGCATAATAAATCAGATTACAACTTCGCACTGCAGGATTAAGAATGAGGTTTGGCCGTTGACCAATCCTTGGTAAGGCATTGTTCACAGTCTGCGGCCCAGCGTTTCTCTGGAAAGAAGTGGTCCGGCGAAAAGCTTTCGATGCATCGATTGGCGGTTGGGCGAAACAGTTTTGATACGTATCGACGGGCGTTTCGCCAAACCGCGGCGTTTTTCGCCTTCGCGAAACGCTAGCTCGATCGCCCTGGCGTTTTTCGCCAGCGAAATCGATACGCATCTATTGCTTTTCGCCCAACCGCCGTTTCGTCAGGGTCGCAGACTGTGAACAGTGCCTAAGGTGTGGCTAGCTTTCGTTTCCATTGAGGGCCGTAACGGTCTACTCATGTTCATATCGCCTGTGCGATGGCTTGGGGGGCCTGCCGATGTACGAACCCTTGTTCTTACTCTCCAAGTCGAGTATGATATCAATTCACTAGTGCCGGAGGGGTGATAGGCTTAGTTAGCCTGAACGGGCCGATGCAGGGCTGAACCATACAATGGTGTGCTGGCGCCAGGTGCCGTCGTGTCAACGTGCGCGTTCAATTTGATGAGTTATGGTGCTCAGACAGTGACAACGAGGTAGCACGCAGTTCACTAGTGAAGCCACTTGCAAAAAATATCATCGGATATGCCTTATACAGGACCCCACGCCGAGCTGAGGTTGTACGTGCTTAAGGCGAAGAGAAGGCGCGGCCGCACGAGTTCTCACTTGTTGGTATCAGCTGTTTTCCCTTATCACCTTACTCTCACTATTCGTTAGTAGCAGTAACAACCACACCAGGCAACCATTAGAAATGAAGTTGGGCGTAGTGGTCGCCAGGTGGGCGGGGTGGCCGACTCTTCACGAGCGGGCGCCGCTATTCTCTCGCATTTTTGAGTTGCGAAACTAGTACGTCCACCATCCTCATAGGGTGAGCTACGATATCCAGAGAGGCGTGGGAACAACAAATGAACGCGGGCGCTGCCTTTAAAGGCAGTTGGCACGATAAATCCCCCAAGACGACTAGGATCAATACTCCTGGCAGGATAGAATTCCGCGACCCTGGGCAGGCGCTGCATAGCGGTTTCCCCGAAAGGTGCCCTTATAAGGGCCCTATCAAGCCACAACTTTACGTCCCAAACGCCCGCCACGCCCGCCCGGACGACCGTTCCTGACGCTCGTATTCATTCATTTGCTAAGCAAATTATGAAGCGAAGGGATTGGTATGAAGCGGCCGTGCTGCATGCATACATGGGTACACATATGCAGCCGTATCTTCGGTAGCGGTGATTGGTAAGATGCCTACGGGAAACTCGTCCGAAATCGATTTACAAGTCACTGAGAACGGAGGCTTTTTCTTCGCAGGATTTTGACCGTTTCACTCCGTTCTTTCGCCATTTCCCCACTATACAGCGCCTACTAGCATTTTAGGCTAAGTAGGGAAACCATCGTGCCAACTGCCTTTAAGGCTGTGACCATAATTTTCGACTCAGGAAAATCGCCATTTTGACGAACACGGAAAAAGAACAGCATATATGTCGGTCTGGTGTTTTGTAGTAATAGTCATTTTGAGTCATTTTCTATCTGATCTTGTAGATATCGATCTAGCGTCCCACGAGAGTAAAAGGATCGTCGTTGTATAGCGAATGGAAGAATAAGAGAGCAGAGTACCTAGATGTGGCGTCATGTGGGGACGTGTGCAAACGGTTTTCATCTCAAAGCGCCTATTCTCCCAGAACGATGACTCTCTCTCAAGTGACAATGCACGAACGCCTAAGGGTTTATAATGAAAGAACTATGTCTGTTGTAGCGTCAGATAACCCAGATGGTGTAGATGCTTTGCACCAGAATGCATAGGTAGGCATAGTCTGTTCGCCGCAGACGAACGGGCATGTCAAGCGGGATGAGTTTGGCGCGGTGCCAAACCCGTTCTCCACCAGTTGTTGAAGCGAGCAAGTGACAAGACTGTATCATATCGTTCGTATCACTCGTTTTCTACCAGTTGTTGTCGCATACCCGCTTCAACAACTGGCAGAGAACGGGTTTGCCGCCGCACACTCATACTGCCTGACACGCCCCTTCATCCGCAGCGAACTAGATTAACCAACATGTGCCGTCCTACAGTTTTCCGATGTCATGGGGGAAAACCCTGTGTTGTGTTGAACCCTCGGTTCCCATGTGTTCATTTGATTTAATTTGCATGGTGCTGCAATATCATCGATTGCATCCGGTACATTTCTTTCTGAATTCATTTTAAGGTCGCCAAGAAAACGAGAAGCAGAACTCAGAAAATCAGGTTTCATCTGAATCCGCAGGTTTCATTTACTGCATAAGGTGCACGAACAGAACCTTTTCTTGGAGTCTTGAAATCATGACCGATGAAGAAGTTCCTAATCACTACTGGAACAATTTGCTGGCCCTCACTACAAAAGCGTCTGCCGAATCAGAGGAACGCAATGTTACGCCGAGGCCCATGAGCGAAGAGGTATGGCAAAATGTGTGTGACAATTGAGACCTAATACGTGTTATCGTTAGGCATTTTTCCTGTAAATCATTGTGCCAGTGTTGGTAAAGTTGAGAGAAAAATGGAGGGGTACTCTGATTGAGCTCAAGTTGAATTTAGTTACACAGGTGCTAGAGGAACTCGCCAATTTATTTTGTAAATTTCTCCTGCAATAACTGAAAGTTCAAGGGATGCTTTCACCGCTGACCAGCCCCTTTTTGGGATGCGGGAGCGACGTACAATTCGGTGTTTTTACGCAGCCACGCGATTCTACCAACTGTACCGATCCACCGGCGGGGTAGAAACCCTCGTTGGCCTGTGCGCGTGCTGATCCGGGATCTCACCGTTAGAACACGCGCTTAATAAGCGGGTCACTTCTCACCGAACCACCTCGGCTACCGCAATGCGAAGTT